CCCCATCCATCCCCATCCATCCCCATCCATCCCCATCCATCCCCATCCATCCCCATCTGTCCCCATCTGTCCCCATCTGTCCCCAGCCCCAGGGAGGGCACGGGGAGGTGCACCCCGAGTCTGATGGTGATGGGGGTGAGGGGCTTTGCTGGGTACCACCCTGCAGTGCCAGAGTCACTTGGCAGGGGGCTGGGGGGCAATGCAGCCTGTAATTAATTAATGTGGACAGTAATTAATTAATGCTGCGGGGGTGAGGCTCCGTGCTGAGCCCTGTCTGTGCCCCCAGGCTCCCTGACTGTCTCCATCACTGACATGAGGGCCCCCCTGGTCGGGGGCTCAGGGGGGGTCTACGCCCTCTGCTCAGCCCACCTCGCCAACGTCGTCATGGTCAGTGGGGAGGGGGCACAGGGGGCACGAGGGAGGGCAGTGTGTGTGGGGGTGTGCCATGGGGTGGATGGAACTCTAGGGTGGGCATCATGGTGTGGCATTGGAGGGAGGGTGGCATTAGGGGCATTGAGGGGGGATGCCATGGGGTGGTTTTGGGGCTGGGTGGCACTGTAGGGTGGGCAGCACGGTGTAGTATTGGGTGGGGGATACCACTGGGTGACAGCATGGGTGGGAGCTGTTTGTGGGGTGGGAAGGATGGTGGGACATTAGGGGGGGATGCCATGGTGTGGGTGGCACTGTGGGATGGGCAGCCTTGTGTCACACTGGGGGGGAAGTGCTGTGGGGTGGCATCAGGGGTGGGTCTCAGTGTCCTCGTGTGGCATTGATGGGGGTTGTGCCATGGGGTGGGTGGCACCGTAGGATGGGCAGCATGGTGTGACACTGAGGACGCTGAGGGGGGATGCTGTGGGGTGGCATCATGAGGTGGGCACCATCACAGGGGAGAGCACCTTGGGTGGCATCATGGGGTGGGTGGGGGTGGGAGGAGCAGGGACCTGGGGGGAATCCATAGGGAGCACTGTGAGTATGGCACCAGCCTCCGCCCTGGTGCTGGGTCATCGCTGGTGCCAGCCCCTTGTCCGTCCATCCATCCGTCCGTCCATCCCTCCCTCCCTCTCCCGCAGAACTGGGCCGGGATGCGCTGTCCCTACAAGCTGCTGCGTATGGTGCTGGCGCTGGTGTGCAGTGAGTACCCACCCCCGACCCCCCCCGCGGGCGGGAGGGGCGGGCGGGGTGGGCTCAGCCCCTGCCGTGTCCCGCAGTGAGCTCCGAGGTGGGTCGCGCCGTGTGGCTCCGGTTCTCGCCGCCGCTGCCGGCCTCGGGCCCGCAGCCGTCCTTCATGGCTCACCTGGCGGGGGCCATCGTGGGCATCAGCATGGGGCTGACCATCCTGCGCAGCTACGAGGAGAGCCTGCAGGACCAGTGCGGCTGGTGGGTGCTGCTGCTCTCCTACGGCACCTTCCTGCTCTTCGCCGTCTTCTGGAACATCTTCGCCTACGACCTGCTGGGAGCACAGATCCCCCCCCCCCCCGTCCCCCCCCCCCCCCGCCCCGGCCCTTCGGTTGGTTTGTTTTCCAGGCCCGGTGGGGGGGGCGGGGGGTCCCCGCGCGTGACATGGGGACAGGCCACCCCCCGCCCGCCTGCCCCCTCGGTGCTACAGAACGCGCCGCCCCCCGCCCCGGGCTGCGCCCCCCCGAATGTACCTGCCGACCCCCCGCGCTGTACCCCCACCCCAAAGGATGCTTCAGCCCTGCCCTGGCATCGCAAACCCCCCCGGGGTGCCCGCAGGGCTCGGGATGTGCCCCCCGGAAGGAGCCGAGTGTGGGGACCCCCTCGCTGGCTCCTGTACCCCCTTCCCAGGGTGGGGACCAACACTCGTTGCCCCCCAGGACCTGCACTTTCACACGAAGGACTGGTGCCAAAATAGGAGCGATTTATTTTTCTACGCCAAAATAAATATAAATAAAAGAAAGAGAGGAATTAAAAAAAAAAAAAGAAGGATATGGGGAGAGCCCAGCAGGAACCAGCTGAGACCGGCACAACTCGTTTCGGCAGTGCCCTCGGGGCGCAGCCCCCCCTTCCCCGCGCCCCAGCCCCCCCGCTTTGCTGCCAGCGCCCTCCCCGGGGCGGGGGGCTCGCCCCGGGATGGGGGCGCAGGGGGGGTCCCCGCTCTGACCCCCCCCAGACCTTTTTGGAGTATAAATAAATATTTTGCACACTGCTGGGGCGTGTGTCTCTGTTGGGGGGGATTTTGGGCGCGCCCCCCATCCCTGTGGGAGGCGGGGAGGGCGCCGGGGCCGGCTGGCCCTGGGGTGGGCGGTGGCGGGGGGGTCACAGCCGGGCACGGGACTTACTGGAGCAGAAAACTCTGGGATAAGTGGAGCGGCACCCGGCCGAGCCCCGCGGGGCTGGCAGCGCGGGGGGGCGTGGGGGTGTGGGGCTGGGGGGCTGTCTGCAGCACCGAGACCACCCCCCACCGCATCCAGCCCCGCCTGCTCCAGCGCACCCGCCCTGCTCCACGCACCCAAACTTCAGCCCGGCACACCCCCCCCATCCAGCCCCCCAAGCCCCCACCTCAGCCAACCCCACACCCTTCTGTGCCCCCACACCCCCGCTGAACCCCCTGCACCCAACAGCCCCCCTGCACCCCACAACCTTTTGTTCACTCCCACCCCTCCGCCGATCCCCCGAGCCTCCTCTGCACCCCCTCTCCAAGCCCCCAGTCAGCCCACATCCCCCTGAAAACCCATCCTCAACCCCTCCCCAGCCCCCTCGCCCCCCCCACTCCGCTCCATCCAGCCCCCCTTCAGCCCCATAAACCTCAGCCATGCCCCGCCCACCTCCTTCTGACCACGCCCACAGTCGTATGACCACGCCCACAA